CACAAACGAGAGAGATTGTAGTGTAGTGTAAGTGTAGTGTAGTGTAGTGTAGTGTAGTGAGTGTAAGTGTAGTGTTAGTGTAGTGTAGTGTAGTGTGTTGTAGTGTTAGTGTATGTAGTGTAGTGTGTGTAGTGTAGGAGTGTAGTGTAGTGTAGTGTAGTGTACGTGTAGTGTAGTGTAGTGTAGTGTAGTGTAGTTGTAGTGTAGTGTAGTGTAGTGTAGTGTAGTGTAGTGTAAGTGGTAGTGTAGTGTAGTGTAGTGTAGTGGTAAGTGTAGTGTAGTGGTAGTGTAGTGGGTAGTGTAGTGTAGTGTAGTGTAGTGTAGTGTAGTGTAGTGCTAGTGTAGTGTAGTGTAAAGTGTAGTGTAGTGTAGTGTAGTGTAGTGTAGTGGTAGTGTAGTGTAGTGTAGTGTAGTGTAGTGTAGTGGTAGTGTAGTGTAGTGTAGTGGTAGTGTAGTGTGTGTAGTGTAGTGTAGTGTAGTGTAGTGTTAGTGTAGTGTAGTTTGTAGTGTAGTGTAGTGTAGTGTAGTGTAGTGTAGTGTAGTGAGTGTAGTGTAGTGTAGTGTAGTGTAGTGGTAGTGAGTGTAGTGTAGTGTAGTGTGTGTAGTGTAGTGTAAGTGTAGTGTAGTTATGTGTAGTTGTAGTGTAGTGTAAGTGTAGTGTAGTGTAGTGTAAGTTGTCAGTGTAGTGTAGTGTAGTGTAGTGTAAGTGTAGTGTAGTGGTAGTGTAGTGTAGTGGTAGTGTAGTGTAAGTGTAGTGTAGTGTAGTGTAGTAGTGTAGTGTAGTGTAGTGTAGTGAAGTGAAGTGAAGTGAGAGAGTGGGTGGGGAACAAATTGAGATGTTTCAAAAGCTAACTTTAAAAATCCACATTGTGTTTCTATTTAAAAAAGAAATTGCATATCTGGTTAATTTTATGTTTATGTATATCTATGCATGTGTACTAGGTGTAACTAAGTATATGTTCTTCATATAAGTGTAGGCATGTATACTATGTAGGACAAGTGTTTGCTCGTGTTATGTGCGAACGTGAGAATGAGCATTTATGTATAAGAATGTGTACGTATGTGCGTAAGTGTGTGTGTGTGTGTGTGTGTGTGTGTGTGTATGTGTATGTATGTGCTATAGATGTATCAATGTCTGAGTATATTTATATGTTGGGTGTATATGCTCGAAAGGATTGTATTGTAAATTGGTTTTAGATTGTTTGTAAATTGCTTTTGGATTGTAAGTGTATATATATTGTAAAACTGCAGGGTTATGGCTACCACCTGGCAATCAGACAATTGTAGCCAAATAAATATTATTATTATTATTATTATTATTATTATTATTATTATTATTATTATTAAATATGTGTAGTTATCGCATAATTTTGCGTGAAATAAAAACAATTTAAAATCAAGATATCCAGAAAACGGCTTTAAATGTTTTCATTTTTAAATATTGTTCTTCGATAGTGCGAGTTCTTTTTTGTAACGTCGCTGAATAGTAAACACTCTGAATTTTCGAAAATTGCAAAAGTGACAAATAATTCGAGAAAGTATGTGCAGTTGCAGCTGATGAAGGTATGATTACACTACTGCATTTTCTGATTCAATTATGCTGAGAAATGTATCTACATTTTATTATGTTAAAGTGAATACATTTACTGTATGTACCACAAAACATTTTTGTATCTTGCGATTGCTCTCAAATTTTGCTCGACTTTTTTAAACAACTGAGAAAAAATTGTAGGGATAATCAGGTAATGTAGCAATATTAACATCAAATTGTGCGTCATTTAGAATCAGTATGAAATTGACTTTCTTACTTTATGACTGCCATTTTGGTCGTTAGTATTACAATATTATTCAACAAAGCAGGCGTTAAAACAAAATTAACCTATAATATTATTAGTGTGAAAAATGTGGTTTTGAAAACAAATGAGTTGTGGAATAAAAAAGGTTTTGCAGCATTTCCTTTTGTTTAAGTGTAACATGTCTCCTTATCCAGTGCTTTTAGACCAGACAACCAAATCTTTCGTGGAGTTGACTAGAATATCTTCCTATTCAAGTTAAATATGATTAAAGATACTTCTATTCTGAAATGGAGACTATTTTACACGAGTTAAAGTATTTTATAATAACTTAAGAAAGTGAAATTGGCTAATTTTTATTATTGTTAAATTACTATCGATTAACTTGTTGATCAAAGGCAAATTAATCGGTGCTTTGGATACCAACGGGTAGCTCGTAAATTTTATAATTTTGATCTATAAACAATAGAGAGATTTTTAGTGAACGTTCATTGCATTTATATGAAAATACGTCCGTGAAGAGTTAGTAAAGGACAAAACATCCCCTTCTGCCCCCCCCCCCTCCCGCTCTCAACCAAGCGACAGATCACCGACTTCCATCAGTTTGTTGTCGCTCAGAACGAAATGTCACATTCATAGAGAAACCCAAGAAAAAAATAATAAAAAGAGAACAGAGATGAAGCGGGCGATATCAGCGCTCCGGCAAGGGCAAGCGATATGTTTAAGACATGCGCGTCGGCGGAGTGGGAAGCGTCCCAGCGCCAGGGCCAATGAAATGCCATAATGCATGAGGGCTCCGTCACGTGTCGCCACTGCGTTCCACCTCGACACCGACACCAACGCCGCCGCCTGGCCACGGCGGCTTCAGGAAATGTAGAAGGGAGGACACTTTAAAAAATTAAAAGAACCAATTTTGTTAATGAATTATTTCTGGAAATATATATTATATAATTCTGTTGAATTTATCCATTTCTTTCAGGGCGTATATTTTATTACAAATAAAACCACGAGAATAAAGCATGAATATAATAGTTATATATTTATACTTGTACTTTTTCCGCTAAAAGTAGTTTGACAAAATAGTATTATACTTTTTAAAAAATTGATCACAGTATTAAAATAAAATAACAAATAACTTTAATCGTATTCAAAGTATTTAAAAAAATATTTTAATTCTGTACGTTTTCAAAGGGGTTTCGGCTCTCGTGGCCCCCTTCCAGAGCCGCACGCCGTTGAAACAACCCCTTCCGGGAACCTTTTCATTCGATTTAGTGCCACGCTCCCCCAGCCCCCTCCAAAAGATCAAATTCCTTGCAGATTAAATGCTTGTTAAGTTGATTTGACACCTGAAATGGTTTCTTGCTGTTCAGAGTTCGAAACTCAAGCGTAGACTTGCAAGATTTTTTGAGTCCCGTCGAATCAGTTTGTTAAGAGGGAAATCTCGATACTCAGTTAAGTAGTTAACGAAGCCAACACTGGGCTTTTCGGTGGCAAATCGATTGATTAATTAATTCGTGTTTTCGAAAGCGTCAATTGTTATAATAATTAGCCCCGTAAGTGTAGTGCATGATTTAGTCAACGGAGGTAGTGAAGTTCTTTCCTCACTGGATGGTGAGATTCGGCGCGGACCTACACGTGACTTGCGGGGTTTTCCCCAACCAGGTATATCCCACCAGCGGGGCGCCGCCCCAAGCGGGACAAGCTTTAAGCTCTGTCTCCATGTGTGGAAGTGCTGTGCATGTAAGCAAGTGGCGAGGATATGACAAGGAAGAGGGGAAAAAAGATCGCTCGCCCTCCGAGACCCGTTTGTTAGGGTACTGCTCCGGCATTGGCCTGGTTTTGATAGGAGAAATCACAAAAAACTTCCGATCGGAGCAGTTGGCAGTTAGAATTCGACCACCTTATGTAGCTAGTGTCGAAAATCCAGCCCCCGTCGAGATCGAACCCTTGGACCTCCCAGTCAAAGACATTGCAATGACATCAATTGATGCCCTGAGTCATCCACATAAGCCAGTGGCAAGTCGATTTTAGATGACAGATACTGTTAGAATTTTATAGGAAACTACACTGTCAGAAATTACATTAAATTTAATACAGTAAATATAAAGTACATTTAATGTACAGTAAAAGGATGTATTTGTGCATTGAATGTACAAATTGAATGTTTAAATTAAAATGAGTATTCAAAAGATCCGGGCGGACATGAATTCGAAAAGTCAGCAAGGGTATTAGCTGGGTATTAGGTGTATAAAGTGTTTAGTTCCAAGATATAAACATTTTGAATTTTCTGGTCTTCGCTGAATGACTACTTCTTGTGGAGATACCAACATTATGGTTGATGGCGTATCACCAGAGTGTATTACAATGTTGGTACCATAATGCTAAAAACAAGTGACAAACAGAATGCATTATATATGTGAAGGTGAAAGATGCAATATTTTAATGAAGAAATCATGACATCTCTGCGGATGTGTCATCGATTTCGTTTACTAATTGAATTATTATAAGAATGCCGAAAAAAGAATCTAGGTAGGTGCAATTCTTACGAAAAGTAGAGCTTACATTAAAATCCTATGTTTCTAACCTCAAAACAGTCTTTTAGTTGTCACAACCGGTAGTAGTGTTGCAATATTACTATAACGAATTTCTTATTTCAGTAATAAAGCACGAGAATGGGAACGAGATCGTCGAGAAAGACTAAACGAGACTTTTAATTTACTCAGCACTTTGTTGCCTAGTTATGATCCATCAATCACCAGAAGTAAAATTGAAATTCTTCAAAAGGCTGTTGCTTACATTTCTGATCTACAGAAAGAAAACAAGGAATTAGTAAAGGGTGATAAAGACCAGGCATGCTGTAAGCAATTTATTTTACAGTGAAGTTATTATGAATTAATGTATCAGGGATTATTAGAAATTCAACATTTTCAGGGAAACAAGTTCGTCAGCTAAAGCATCGTATGGAAAATCTCCTTCGCCGTGTTCAACAACTTACTCGCCTTCTTCATGATGCTGGGATATCAGTTCCTCCAGAATTACCAAAGGATGGACAACCACCTCTTCGAGGGCGACCTCCCAAATGGAGTAATAAAATTCGACAAGAAGATGCTACTGCTTTGCTTGAAAAAGTTAAAAGCAGTAAGTCGAGTATGTAATATCTTAAGTGTTTTGACTTCATGCTTGTGTTTCATTTTATGATGATTGATACATTGCTAATTGACAATTTCAGAGCGAGCAAATAAGAAGAAAGAAAGAGCCCCCTTAAATGCTTGTGGAAATAAAATAATACCCAATGAGCCCAAAGCAGCAGTTATTGTGTCAACTGTGTCTGAAAGTAGCAATATAAAAACTGTTTCAACTACCTCGAAGACGAAGCTAGGCAAAGTGACGAAGATCACCAAGGTGTCAAAAGGAAGAGGAAAGAAAAGTGACATTGTAAGAAAGTCAGGATGTGAGGAACTTCCAACTGTTACTCAGCTCTTGGGGCTTAGTCTGAATGACATTGATGTAGCTCCTACTGTTGTTCCTCCACCCCAACTTTCTGGAAGTGGAGAATTGATGAGCAGCCACTTGAATGGGGTGACACCTAACACTGCTGGGACCAACGTCACTGTCTTAGCATCCAACATACCACAAGTGCCACAAGGATTCATTGTGATTCCAAAGGGCAACTCTTTACCAACTACCTCAAAAGCACATCTTCCTCAGTCACAATGCATTGTTGTGGCACCTGCTTCCCAAGCAGTCACTTGTAGCCAGCAAAATCAACAACCTTGTGTTGTCATGCCTTCAAAAGTGCAGGCTACCAAAGTAATAAAGACTTCAATGCCAATACAGCAGCCTATTCCTATGGTTCTTTCTAGCACCACTAGTGCCCTGGAAAATGTAGCTAATCCAACTGTACAGAAATCAGATAGTGCAGTAGCTGTTACTAATTCACACCTGTTGACAACCCCTATCATGGCAACAGGTAAGTTCGTTTTTAGTTTTTATATATATATATTTCTTTTTATGTTAATATTTGTTAACTGTTACCTTATTTTAGCAGTTTATAATGAGTTTTGTTAACATGAATTATGTGATAAAATATTGATATTGAATGTTGATAATAAGATATTCTAGGCCACTTAGACACAAACATTATTATGGTTTTGAATCTTTAAACAACAAATTCATGTGGATTCATCAAACCCATTTTAGTAATGAAACTTTTCAGTTGTGTTGTAGAGAATCATCAGTTGAATTATTAGTGGTGTATAAGGAGGAAGTGTCAAATATAAGTGTCAGTTGATTCTAGTAAGTTAAAACAACAAACAATTCTCTTCAGAATTCCTTCTGATAATTATAATTAAAATTTTTTACACGAATATTTTGACTTGTTGCAGGAATGCAAACTTGCTCCACTCCCACTCTTCTGCCGACTCAAGGAGCCAGTCTCACAGGTCTTGGACCTGGCACATTGATACTAGCCAATGGCAGTATTTTACCCATCTTCCCATCTTCACAGCCAGCCTCTGCTGTCCCTAGGGTGCTAACCCCCAGGAATAGCACACAGATTGTCATGAACTCTGGTTCAAACATTCCAGCTCAAGTTTTGCCCAATCAGTCAGTTTTATTAGTGCAAAACAAGGCACATTCTACCTCAGATGTTAGTACATCAAATGCAAAACCTCGTCGAATTTATTCTCTCTGTCTTCCAAAGCCTTTGAAACGGAAAGGAGTGGATTCCACAAGAACTAATAAAGTACCTATATCAGCACTGACATCTCGAAGTCAACTTATCCGTTCCATAGCTACCAGTGCACAGGTTCCTGTGAGTAAACATGCAAACAGGATAGGAGATACTAGAAGCAGTAAACGAATATCTGATAAAAAATCCAATAGCATTCAGAAGGGAAATGGCCGAAATTCCAAGGCTAATGCCAAAATACAAAATAAAAATAAAATAACTATTGTTGAAGAAAATATAGAGAATAATTTACAGACTTGTGTTGAAAAGAATAAAGCTGTAGAATCTGGAATCTCAGAAATTGCATCTATTAATTCAACAGCTAAAGAAAATGTTGATGAACATGTCAACAATAATGTTGCAGAACCTCAGATAAATTGTGCCATAACTCGTGAAATTTTGAACAATATTAGTCCAGTTGATCAGAAATGTAAAAAAGAGGATTTAAATGTTAGAGATTGCTACAATAAAAGAACACGGGACGTTAATGAAGATACTACAACAAAGTGTAGCAAACAAGTAAAGTATTCACATAAAAAAGATGATGCTGTAAATACTCAGTCTGGTTCATCTGAACAAACCTCATTTTCCACTTCAAATATTGCAAATCCTGATTCATTCACAAGTACTCCTGTTGATGGACAAACAAAAAAAACAAACGAAGAGAGTGTGAAGGCATATGGAGGAAATGACTATTACTCAATTGATTCAATCTGTAAAAGTAATGAAAAAGTTGAACACACAACAGATACAACCATTTCTTCTTTGGACACCTCAGAGAAAAACATTAATACAGAAACAAGTGCCTCTTTCCAGAGTAAAGAAAATGGTGACTCTTCTGTTGTAAGTAATGATAAAGCAATTTCTTGTGATGCTAATAAGTTGTGTTCCGCTGAATCATACACCAACTTACCTTCTACCATGACTAGTGTAGCATGCATGAAGGGTGATAGTATGCCTAACGAGCAACTTACAAACTCAAGTAATGATTTTAATGCAACCTCTTGTTCTCCTGGAAATCCTTTGACATGCCCTTCAATAAGGCAAAGTGAAGCAGCTAAGGAAAGCAATCAAGATATATGTAATTCAGCCATTTACAATGGCAGCAAAAACATGGTTGGTGACATCTCAAATAATTTGAAATCTTCATCAAACAATGAAAACTGTAATATTACTTCAATTGCTAGTGTAAGAAAGTCAAGTCAAACCTTAGAAGAATCATCTATGTCCAACAACGTATTTCAACAAGAAACGTCAGTCAGGTATTCACAACCTGTATCTGCAGAGGTTCCCTTGTTTTCTCCTAAAGCACAAAACGACATTTCTGAAAGTGAAGCTCCAGGCAAAACAACTGTACAAACAGAGTTTGGATCAGAAAATGCCCATAAAATTCAGAATGATATTTCAGAGCATTCACTCCATAACAATACTTCTCATTTGTCTAATGGAATTGCAAATGAACAATCTCCAACCACTGTTGTTAGGGTATCTGATATACAGTTTTCCAAATCGAATTGCTCAGTTCAATTAGAATCGTGTAAAGTAGACAACAGGGACAATATAGATACCTCAGAAAATATTAAAGAAATTGAAAAATCTCCCAAGAATGATTTTTCAGGAAGCAGCAATGTGCAATCAGAATTATCTTCTACAGAATATAATACATTCTCATCTGTGTCTGAAGGCAATGTTAGCGCATGTTCTTCTGCAAACAAGATTTTTAGAAGCAATGAAAATTTGGACTTGGGTGCATCAGCAACTTCTTCATTATGTTTATCTCTTCAAAATAATGAACTTTCAAATGATTTGTTTGCCTCACTTCAGGTACCTTCTGGAGGACAACATGCTGAATCCATCTCCCCCACTGCTGCTTTTCTTTTGGCTTTCCCTTTGGTTTCAACGTCCAAGGTGTCAGATATAATTGGTGATTCACAAGATGATGTGGGCAGTGATAGTTTGCAAGGCACATCTACACTTTTGCAGATTGGAAGCTTAGATTCAGACCATCATTCAGAGGCAATTATCTCGAGATCACCAACATTTCAAAGTGCAAATAATTCAAGTAAGATATTACCTCAACCCACACTTTGTCAGAAGGAATCCAGAGTAGAGCATCAGGAATTAGAATGCCAACAGTTTCTATCATCATCTAGTAAAATTGATAGAAATTCAGAAAAAATTAAAGTTGATCACATAAAATTTTCTGACTCTTTGGATGAGACAGAAAAGATAAGCAATAAAAACTGGATATCATTACAGACACCATCTCATTCTGAAACAATAAGCAAAACCGATATAGATGAAAGTAGAGAAAGAAATTTAGATGCTCAGACTTTTACAAAGGAGTGCCTTGATTCACAGATGAAGAATAGAGAAATGACAGGAGACTGCACTAAAGAAAAAGCTTTGGAAGAGAGTTGTACATTCAATGCTACAAAAGAAATGCGTAATGTAGATTGTTCTTCAAGATCTCTTAATGCAGAATCATCACAGCAAACAAGTTCAAATGTACCACCTTTTTCAGAGAGGCAATTTGTTGCACCTATCTATAATTCTAAAGAACATTCTCGTCTTACAAGTATAAAACAGGATCAAACACCACAAAATTCATCAGCATTGCAAATTACGCCTGACAGATCTATAAACTTTGTTAATCCTTCAACTTCCAAAGATGAAGAGAGAAATTTTAGATCAGCATACAAAAATTTAGCATTAAACTCTTCAAATTCTGCAACTACTTCATCTTCAGGAGTTTCTTTTCCAATGGGGAAAAATGTGTCAGAGCAAGCCACTATGACTGAGGATGAAAGAACTTCTCATTCGAATTCGTTAGAATCTTCCAACAAAATAAAACAGACATCGTTTTCTTCTGCTGACTGTAGTGGCTATTCTACTACATCACAAAGTGGATATATGTTAAGTAATATAGTTGAAAATGAAAAATGTAGTATACCATCTTTTTCTGTTGCCCACAATTCATCAAATTTTAGCATTTTATCATGGACCACATTGTCTCCAACTTCAACTATGACCAATACAAGTCAGTATGATGGATTTGGTACTCCGAATTCTGTGGCTGCTTCTCAAAATAATTATTTGTCAGTTCCTAAAAAACAAAATAAGAACATCTGCTCAGCAGAAGTCTGTCCTGTTATGACATCATCAAGTGTTCCCGAGACATGTCAGCCACAAATGAAAGAAACTCTTAGTTCTCATACCATTAACAAATTTTCAGAATCAAACTCTAGCTCTTTATTGCAAAATTCTAATAATCAGAATTATCTTCAACATTTTCTTCCAGATCAAAGAAAAATGGTGACCTCTGTTGCCCCTTCAAGCATTGATAATACAGCATCGCAAGGTCCACAGTTGTGTGCAACTGGTAAAGTACCGGAGAGTGAGCAGCAGCATCGTCCTCCAGTGAATTGGATGACAACTCCTGATGTTAGGGGAGGTCAACATTCAATGAACTTAATACCCTCAAATTCTGTTGTAAATAGAGCAATACCTTCAAATTCAGCGACAGTATCTGGGGCATCTGTAAATGCAGTTACTTCAAAAGATAACCAATACTGTAGTATCAGCAGCAGTCAGAATGTATTTATCAGTTGCATTTCAAGTACTCTTCCGACCTTCGATACTAGAACATATACAAGTAATACATTCTATGGCACACAAAGTGTTTCTTCCCAAAATTCTCAGGGTAATTGTTATCAGAGTGGCACTCATGGGCAAGGACTTACAGAAGATTCCAATCCCAATAGCAAACAATTACATTTTACAAGTTCTTTGAATCGGCTTACTGATGTTCACATGGGGCAAACTCAACTAAATGAAACATATTCTGTTCCCTGGTTGCAAAAGAAACCTAATCCATCATCAGTGTGTAGCACTGAAAGTAGCAGTAGTAATTTCATTTCTTCATCTTTACCAACTTTAGTTGGAGATCTTGCATTGGGTACAAATTATCCCCTGTCAGTAAATGATGATGAGCAAGGAAGCAAAGGATTATCATCATCAGTAAATTTTCATCCAAAAATGACTGAAAAAAAGAGTAATGTTTGTAACTCAGGAAATAATTCTCTTGAAGAAGACCAGTCCAAGCAGATTCCGACAGTTTCTAAGAATAATGATCACAATAAAGATCGAGGTGCCATTAAAACTTCAGTTCAAGAATTCAGAACTAACTCTTCTCAGTCATCAGGCAGTAGCTTTTTATCAGTCAGTCAATTAGTGAATCAAGCACATCCATGTGAAAATTCTACCCGAGAACACACGATTTCTCGAGAAAGTAGCCACATTAGTAATAGAGTTCTATTGCCTAATAAGAATACCAATCATTCTCAGTCTCATCAGATAACAAATCTATCTTCAACATTAGAAGAACCAAAAGAACAAATTAGTTCCTTAAGTAGTTCAGAAAAGGAAATGAACCGAAAGCCTCGCCCTGAAATTGATCAGTCATGTGTAAGCATTAGATCTTTTGAAAGTAGAATATCTCTATCTCACTCTAGAGAAGAAGAAGCAAGAAGGAAAATAGAAACAAGTCAAGTGAGAGGAAGCAACCATTACATTCAAGAAATAACGAGCAATATCACACCAGCTCTCAATAGTAGTAATAGTAATAGTACGTTTTCTATTACTTCCAGTACACAAGCCACCTCAACACTCTCTAGTGTTTCTTGGTCATCAGGGAATGTTGTCAAACAACGCAGTGCAAAGGGGAGTTCTTCAGGTTGCAAAGCACCTGCTAGCAGCTATTCAGCTGAAGCTCTTATTGGTTTGAATTCTCAAGTAACAGATCGTGGACTAGGAACCATGAGTGACTCGCGAGTTAACAAAGTCATCACATTACCTCCACCTGTAGTTTCTGAAAGGTTTTGCCGACACCAGAATTATCCACCAGCCTCTACAGCCCGGCCAATACAAGTACCCCCACCATTCAGTACTGACACAATTCTTCCCAGCAATTACTTCACGTCTATGGAGTTACAAACTTCCCATCAAGATGGCAGTTCTAGTACTTCTCAAAATGTGAACAATTCTCAGAGCAATTTAACTTCTCATTCACATCAGAATCAACAGGGATTTAACACCTTCCCTGCGTCTTCTTCTCAGTCTGCAGTGCGTGCCTCAAATGGACAATGCAACAGTGTACTCTATTCACATTCAGACTTTATGTCTAGTGTTGGCTCTGCACATCCATCTCACTCTTTGCCCCCAGTGTCCCTTCCATGTAATTTTCTCCCAGACTTAGGGTCAAATAACTCTTATACCTCTGGAATTCTTTCTGATTCTGGAAATCCTTTCCTTTTCCCATCTTCTTCAATTCCTGTTTCAAGAGGATCATCAGCATGCCATAGTATGGGAGGGGGGAAGCAAAGTTTAACGCACTTACACAGCTCTACCCAAGTTACAACAGGTGCTGGAATCAGTGAAGGACATGAAACTTCAAACCAAATTGTTCCCACACTTCCACTTGGAGATAAAGAGCCGTATTCAGGAAATTCTCTCAGATGCAACACCGGAAGCAGTACAACTCGTAGACCAGTGACCTCAGAAGCAAATATGTTACAGCAGAACACAGTTGAAGGTGGAACTATAAGCAGTTCATCAAAACAAAGAATTAAAAAGCGCACTTCAGAACCAGCAACACATTCAAGTTCTACAGGTCTTGGTGGACTTATGGATCTTGGGTACCTTGGGATACCTCCAGTGATTGGTTCACCTATGCTTCCTGATGAGGGAACATTCATTAATCATTCTGGTGGATTTTTGGCACCAAATTCACAACATACTACTCCTTCTCTCTATCCAGGAGCTCCAACTCCATCACAAGGATCATTCTATCCAACAACATCTTCCCATGGGCAGTCCAATGCTTCCCATGCGAGTCATTTACCTGTCAACAGTGCAGGCTTCACAACTCAGACCACTAGAGGATTACAACTTGGCAACATGGTATCTCCCAGTGTTGTAAATTCAAGTGGAACTTCTCTTACTAACTTCAATCTCAGTACAATCTTTCCTGAAATTAATGAGAAGGTATGTCACCATTTACTGCTATGGTCTAAACATTTTAAAAAAAATAATTGTTCAACATATTAATGTTGTATTTTGTTCCAGCAAGTACCAAACAACGCATACAACAGTAGTGTTTCCAAAGAGTCTGGTCCTCTGTTAAGTTCATCAATGCCTACAACTGCACCCCGTCCACCACATTCTCAGTTAAATAATAGTACTTCTAATCATAATCGCCAACCTGCTACTTTGTTGCTCCCACCAGTGTCCAGTTATGCCCATAGACAAACTTCAGGCGAAGGGTCCATATGCTTACCACCGCCACCTCCACCACCCCCTCCTGTTCCCCTTCACTCAAGTGTTACTTTCAACAACCTTCTGAATTCAACTGCTTCTCAAATGTGCCAGATGCAATGGCGGTAAAACCATCCAAGTGTAATTCAATAGTTATATTGACTCCTTTAGTGTAATATTACCCAGATATATTCTAAAAATGAGGAAAATGAATTCCTCAGGAAAAATGCCCTTTTTTTCCTTTTACAGTGGAACACAAATGCAATCGAGATTTTCAAGATTAAATAGAATGTAAGTAATTTAAAAAGGAATTACATACTTGTTATAGAAAGTTTGAAATATTAAATATATTAATTTATTTTCAGATTTGCCTCAATTGTGGGACTACATTTACTTCCACCAATAATGGTATATATTTAAATTATTGAAATATTACTTTGTTTTAGCGAACTTTATTTGCTACACAATTCCAATGATAAAGTTCTTGGATAAAATCACATTTCACTTTGGAAATAGTTGAAAAAATATATGAAGGAAAATTTGGCAATAATGAAGACTGAATGTATTAATATTTTATAATAAAAAAATGGATACATGTTTTTGAAAAAGATTAATTTTTAAAAGATGATTGTTTGCATATACTAGTGCATAGCATTGTCTTAAAAGATAAAATGACTGTCACTCATACCAGTTTTACTCCCACTTACTTGCATGTCTCGTACTTAGAAAGGAAAACAAAATTATGATTGATATTGATTTGATCTCTTACAATTAGTTCAGGAAACTTTGAGTTTAAGCATTTGCCACTATGTGGATTATATTTGTTCTCTGAATGCAAATGTAATTGGGATGTATACAAAGTCTTAGTACACAGGGTCTTTAGCTTAACTAGCAACCCATATCTCTTGTTTTGGCAATTTGGCAACGCACAAAATACCTTTGGCATCCCTTTCACTTTTAGCAACCCACAGCTGTGTGCTGCAGATTTTGGAGTGAGAGAATGCGGCTAATTTTAGTTGGAAGAAAGAGAAAGCACTTATGGTCCTTGTTAGTCTTCAACATACTGCAGCCACTACACTGAAAAGAGTAAACGCCTGTGTCTTGGCAAGTAGTGGTTACTTTGAGCATTTATTTTTATTGTTTATTTTCAATCATTATTAATTTATTGCTGATGTATCTTTTATTGATAGTTTTAATAATTTTATTAAGACTTTTGTATTTGCTTAATAATCAGATTCAATACTAATAATACAATATTAGTGTTATAAATCATGAAGAGCTTGGCGGTAATGTTTCAAGAGATATTTTTCCGATTTCTATCTGAGCCGACATTCATTAAATAATAATAATAATAATAATAATAATAATAATAATAATAATAATAATAATAATAATGTTGGTGTTAATAAATTGATAAACAGTAATAACTTCCCTCCAGATCTTCAGTTTTGTTTCTTAAGCATACTGGACAGAATCACCTAAAGAGACATTTTGTTTCTTGCTCATGCCTCTGCTCACCCCACCCCACCCCACCAAATCTGTGTAGCGCAAAATACTTCCGGCTGGCGTGAGCCGCATACCTGCCTGCCAAAGCTCTTGAATGGGGATAACACAGAAACAGAAAAGTTGCTGTAGCTTCTGACCTGACGTTCGCCTTCTCTGCTGCCTTGACATGTGAGGCATGGCTGTCTTGAAATGTGGCAAAAACATGCAGTTGCCAATTGCCAAAACAAGAACAGGTGTTCTCTGACATGGGTTGCAAGTTAAGCTAAAGACCCTGTATATGAACATATGAATACCAATTCAGGTATAACATGCATCATGTATAGACTTCTTTACATAATACATATATTAGTTTAGATTTATGTTTGATTTGCTTCTATTTTTGTCCTAACTAAAATTTGGTTTTTCTGTTTTAGTTAGAAGTCCTATTCCAGTTACACCAAGGGTAAAATAATGATCACATGCAGTTATTTGTTAAGAACACACCCTTGTGGAGCATTTTTGTACCGGTGTTTAATTTTTTTTTTTAAACTCAAGGTTTTCATATTGCATTGTTGTAAAGATAATTTATTGGGCATATAATGTAAATATGTAAAATTTGTAAATCTTCTTTCCAATTTGATGTTGAGCAAGCTTTGTTTGTTTTGTAATGTTCAGTAGCTGAAGTACATAATGGAAAAGATTTTCTCTTGGATTTGAAGAGAATGTATGATAATGTTATTGATTGGGATATAAAATAATGTGCTGATTAGATGTTAACAAAATTTTCCATTTTAAAATTGAGATTATTTTTTGAAAAAAACAACAGATTTCAGTTTTATTATATCATGGATGGGGAAGCTAACTGAATCAATTTTGCTTTATTTGAGCTCTTCGTGGTGAAAATGTTCTACTCGTTTGTCTAAAACACTATTAAGTCTCCTTCAGCATTGTTGGCAATATTATTCCTTTGAAGTACACTAAATCTGATGCTACCATGTCTTGGGATTTAATAAATTTTGTCTTTAAATTTTTTTTGTTGATGTTCTTACTAGAAATTTAAAGCACTTTCAGTAACAAGTATCTATTCATGCTTATTTTTCAGTCTCAGATTGAATGAAATAACAAATTATAAATCTGTTCACAATTCTTAACCTTAAAAACTTATAATGAAAGGTTGTCAGAGATATCCATTTGGGTAGTGTTATTTTAGGGGTGGAATTAAAATGACATCAGATTTGCTCCCCCTACCCTTACACACACCCCTACCCTAATTTCTCCCTTCTGATCTAGATTGATGGTATGCCAAATTTTATCTCAATAAATTACATTTATCTGTGAATAAAAAAATCCTTGCAGTAAACACATTTTTTAAATTTATTTTTAGTAGTTTTAAACTTGAAAAACAAAACTATAAATATTTTGCAATACAGCCATAGGAATAAAATAATTTGTTAAGCTTGTAAAATATTGGGTTTTACCTGAATCTTCTTTATGTACTGGAAATTACTGTGGATGATTTTCCATACATGTAAAACAAATTCTTTCTGTTCATTAACAACTGACACTATTTAAGTCTTTGCTATAAGTTGAGGCATTCAGTTAGAAAGGGAGCTAATACACAAAATAAAAAATCAATTTATGAATGTATTCGATTATGAACATGATTGAATATGTCAATAAATGGATGTTTTGAATTTTGTGTACTAACTCTCTCTCTCTCTCCGAATGCCTCAATTCTTTCCTTTATTTGATAAATAATTTATATATGAAAATATTTAACTGAGCTTTTCTGATCAAGATGTAGGATTAACAGCATTAGAAATCTGACTCAATATGTAACATATAAAATAGTTTGAGACTTAGGACTAAAACAAATTTGCCAATTTTCTAATCAAAAAGATTATTAACCACACCCAAAAGAATGTACCTCCATTGAGTTCCCTAGGCAATAGATTTTGAAAAACATATTTTTGTTATTGACACTGTTTCCATCAGAGTGAGAATTTGCAAACATTTAAACACCATTAGTTCTGGTAATATACATAAATACAGATTTGAATTTACTTTTTCATTCCCTTTTAATTGTTTAATAAATAGCAGGCCATTGTTAGGAGTATCAGTTGTTGATAAAATATTTATCCCCTATTGTACATTTATAATTGGAACAAACTTTCTTAAGCTTTTCACTTCACTGACACCAAACCCACAGTTCACATAAGCTCTTACATGTTATGGCTGTGAGGCAAATACAGCTTCCTCTCTTCTTGCTACAGAAAAGTAGCAGCTCCATTGAAATGATTTCCATTAGAGGCAATAGTATCAGATCAAAAAATCCATTGATGCAAGACACCAATGAACTCTTTACAATTGTGGACGAAAAAATAATTAATTCTAAGATACACAAAAGATCATTACAGGTAATGCTCAAATTTTAAAAAAGTGATAAAAGAAAATATAAAAATTGTAACAATTTACTGTTAATAATTAATTTTAGTTCAAATTACTCCATTGGAAGATTTATTTTTCCGAAAAAAGAATAAACGTTTTTACTGCAAGGAAAATGGTTAATATATACAGAGACTTACCTAGGCTAGTGCAATCTGGGCCCCCTGAATGAGGCCCTTCACCATCTTCCATTAAAGGTGGGATTTCGTGTGGAAAACTATTTTGAAAATAATTCTTGATCAATATTTTTGTAACATTACACAAACTGAACATTTAATGAATGTTAATTGTGCTATAATTTAGTACAAGAGAGAATGCCAGTTCATTACATAATTTACATTAGAAAATAGTACAAATTTATTTTCATCATAGGGGCCTAAGGACAGGAAACTTGAAAGCATGAAATGGGAAAATATTTATTCCCCATTCATGCACAATTGACAATAGCCTAAAAAAATGAATTGGGGTGCACTTAAAAACGACAAGTGCTCTTAAAAATTTGAATAATAGATCTTACTCCTTCAAACTATTCATAGATTTTGACTACAATGAAACCTTGTTACCAAGTGCCTAATTCTGGAGTGAAAATTACAAGAATTTTTTCTAACTTCATTTTTTTTTTTTTTTTTTTTTTTTTTTTTTTTTTTTTTTTTTTTTTTTTTTTTGAAATTACACTCTTTATGTTCCTTGTGAGGGGGAAAACAATTTTTTTTAAATCTACACTTTGATATTTTTATGGTATTGTGATTGGCAATATGGCCAATGCAAACAAGTTTAATAGTGATTCTGTTGAATAAATATTTTATTTTTTTGGAATTAAGAATAATAGAAATATCAGCTTTCTTAAGTTTTTATTGCTTTAAATTGCCATATTGAAATTATATTAAGTTTTCTGCCTACTTACTATAGTTTGTTAAGACCACAAGTTCTAAATAACAGTGAGTGCTTAATATTTTAGACACTTCAAAAACAACCACCAATGGAAACTCATTGTTTGATACCATTGTTCTTCATTTTTGTAAAACAAAATATTTCATTTGCATAAGATTTTTTTTTTTCCCAAGGTGAAATCTTATTTATAGTAGAACTTTGTATATAAAATAAAATATAAAACTCATATCACATTTGCATTCTGCAGTGGGGGGACCTCATTTAGACCCTACACACTAAGGGCTCCAAGAATTAGCTACACTCCAAAAATATAAAACTTTGTGTTCTTTGTGACATAGATTAATGTTAATTTATAGAAATGAAATTTGATATACCATCAAATTAGAACTGGATAAGAAAAAAGGAAGGACTTTGCATTATGAATAAATGATGGCTTCTACTTTCCTTCAGTTAAATGAGTAATGTTTGGCTATAGGTTACTGCTAAGCCATTCTTTTTTTTTCATTTTAACTATAGGTAAACTACAACTATCTCTTCAAATCTGAATATATTTCTTGTTGAAGCAATGCAATATAAGATTCTTAATGCACAAACAAGTATTGTTATAAGACTGTAATTGTATAAATATAACTCCTTATTAACTATTTAGTTAAATACTTATTTTATAATAAAATATAATTTCACTTAAATAATGGGTTATGTCACAAACCATTTCTTTACAAATATAGACTAATATAAAGAAAATCATTCATGAAATAGCTTAATATACTGTTAATTTGGCAAACAACAATTTCTTATGATAATTAGAACTATTTCATATCTTTGAGATTCCTGTAATGTACATCAGTTATTTGGGAAACTTTTTATAATTTAATCATTTCAAAATTGACAGTGAAATGAAAACTTAGGTAAGTTAATACCATTGAAAGTAATAAAATGTTAATACTTGAAAGGTGACTATTAAAATGTCAAACTCACTGTTTTATAATTTTCTTTTACAAATATGAACAATGGACAGCGTTTGAAAATACATTGACATTAAATGTCAATTTTTTTTTTGTTTTACTTTAAAGTAAAGAACAATTGAGCAAAAAGTGGTACATCATTGATTCATTTTGAAAATGTGTATGTTGAATGTATTCTACTGAAAGTATTTCCTGTGTGCAACTGAAAAGTGTTATTCATCCTAAGAGAGTTGTTGAATACAGTAATGATACTTATTGTGTTATCAATGCTATGCATTGTATTATACCATATTTTTGAATTGTTGAAAGAATGAATTTTTAATGAATCAACACATTTGTTGTAAAACCATGTAGATTTGTAAGATACATTAATAATGTATGTCATTGTATCTATTTTCTCATATTTTATACATGAAAACATGTAAAACTTTTAATTTATATTGCTGTGTTATGTGAATGATCAAAATCATACAGTATGTTTAATAAAGATTGTCAAGAACTTTTCTTGGTTGTTTGTCATTGGCAAAATAATTTCTAACAACAGCAATACAGTCCCTTTTCATACCATTACTTTGATTATCTTCTGAAGAATTTGAAAGAAAAGTATTTATTATTTAAATTTTCAAGCCAATCATGGAAAGTGGGATGCAGCTTTTACAATCATCCTGTTATGAATATTATTAATAAATTTAAAAAAGTAAAGAGAAAACAGAAATGTATGGAAATGGATGGTCTGGTGGATGAGGACTGAAAAATGGAAATGGAGAAGTATCAATAAAAATTCTAGGAAAAGAAATGAAGTGAAAATTTTACATAAACACAATGAAATAATGGCAATATAGTTCTCAAACAGATATTATAATTTTTTTAAATAAATATTTTCTTTACTCTCATTCTCTCCATTGGAAAACTGTACTCTCAATAGGAAACACATTCTGTTGAGAGATTTTTCCAGTAAAAAAAGAGAAAATGGTCATGTACATAAAATTGCTTGCAAAAATCGAAGAGTTCTTGGCACCTGCTTCATTATGCATTTCAATGCATACTTTCATACTGCAGTTAAATAATTACAACACTCATACTAATGAGAAATAGTACTCTCAAAGTTGTCAACTAAATTGCTCATTCAGGAAATGCAACAACAATCAATGATATATTTATATTAATTTTTGTAATTTTCTATTGTAATAAATAGAATAAAACTAAACACAGTAAGAAAGTATGCCATGTTCTGTAATACTGTTTTCTCATTTTAATACAAGCTTTCAACAAACAAGTCAATACCTGGTACTCACATAAAATTTAAAAATTCTTTTTTGCTCATTTTTTCTAGGGAACTTATTGAAATATCTGATTTCTTTTGATTTGGAGATTTTAGAAAGTTAATGATGATAGGTGCCACTCTTTCAGGATTGTTCAGATGAACATGATGCAACCCTTCCACAGTGTGGAACTCAAAAACCTTGGCTGATTTCTTCATAGTTTCTAATGTTTGTTTGTTGACTTCTAAGCTTTCAAATACAAGACCTGGATCAGCCTTAATAAATAGTACATTGCATGTGATGCATGATGCCATATAAAGTACGTACTCATGTAACCAACCACTCAGCCTTTTAACTTTTAGAGCATTATCTCTTGTAAAAGCATACTTGTCACCAAATTTTTCAGTTCCTCTTTTCAATAATACTTCACATGATTCTTTGGATACTGACTGACCCACCATTCCATCATACAATCTCTGGACTGTTTCTTCATAACTATAGGAAGGCTTCAAACTGTCATCTACATCTTCTACTTTCAGAAATCGGTCGAGATCTGCTGCAAGCTTATCTATATCTTTCTTGGGATCAATTGATAATGGTTTAAAAGCATCAACTAAAATCAAATTTTCAACTTGATCGGGATAAACTGCTGAATAAATAAAAGATTGTACAGCACCCATTGAATGAGCTAGCAGAGAAATTTTGTCCCATCCGTAATAATTGACAACATGCCGCAAAGTAAATATCTGGTCAGTAATACGATATGGAATACCTCTTGGAAAGTATGAAGACAACCCATGACCAGGACTATCAATTGCCAGGAGGCTGATATCTGATGGCAGCAGAGGTGCTAATCTGTCCCATGTACCAGCATTATCTTGCCAACCATGCAGACCTAGTAAAGGCTTCTTGTCTGAGCTTCCCCACCATTTGCCTAAACACATACAAAATCAATCATCAACAATTTAATTAATTTTTTCATAGTACTGTTAAGTTTACTGACCAAATAAATTCATAGCTCCTATTCAGAATAACTAAGAAATAACCACATTTTTATTTAATGCTCTTTAGTATGTTATGGTTAGACCCCGGAATTTTAGGCTCAAAAAAGCAATGATTTAGGCACCTAAAATAAGCAAAAAAGTATGAAATTAGGTACCATTAGTCATGAAAAGCCAGGTTTTAAGCTTTTAAAATAGGTTACAAAATGATTATTAGCCATTTAAACACATTAGACATGAAAAGTTATGTTTTTGGTATCTACAACTGAGCATGACTACACGCATATTATTTGAATCTCTTTCATGATTAGCAGAACAGTATATAATAAAGATTTTCTCCAAATTTTCTTCAGTAAGGCAGTGTCTCGTATATTAAAATAATTATTTTTTTTAATACGCTTTTCCATTTGCATTTTACTTTGTCCCCAACGGCTCTCTTTAATAGAACTAATTTTTACATGGACGTCTTGCATCACAGACACTTGATCTGTCAAAGACTTTCCTTTGCATTCCAATGAAAAAAATTTATGAAACATCCTCTTTATTTCGACTTGCAGAGCTCGTTATGTTCGGTTGTTGGGTAAGAGATCTTGGAGCGTAATTAATTGCATATTCGATCAGGGAAGATTCACTTTCCGGTATAAATTTAAAAAATTAGTAATTAAAATATGATAATTCTTCAAAATTATTTGTTTTAGGCAGAATTAGATACTTTCACTAGATGAATTTTTTCATGATTTGTCAAAATCTTCAACAATCTCCTAAAGAAAGTAAAAAGGCTTTTGTCCTAAAATCCAATGACTAGTTATGACTGATCCAGCAAAACAAAAAAACTGTTCAAAAATGTGAATATAGATTTAAAAAATATAATAGTATATCTTTAGAGCAACTAAGGAAGTTAAATGTGATAATTAACAGCAATAAATTAGAACACATTAAACAAAGAAAAAAATATTTAAAATTAAATTTATGTCAAATATACACAATATTAATATTTTGTTTCAGATTCCTGTTTCTTATAGAAACACAATGTAGTTATTTGATAACATTTTGTTATCACAACATTTATAACAATAACAATTTATCTAACTTGTCTGGATTCATAAATCACTAAAAAATAAATATTGAGGCATTTGATGCTAATTCATTTCATGGAACTTTTAACTTCAGAACCAGATTTAAACTGGGGCAACTGGGATCCCCAAAAGGCGTTATTTATTAATTGTCTCGTAACACATTTGTTAATACCATATTGAATTTTAAAAGGCATTTTAACATTTTATATGGTCTGCACATGCTAGCCTTGGGGTTCCCCACCCATGTAAACCTGGCCCAGACTTAACATACAATTACTACGATTAGGTGTTACCACCCACAGATATTACGAGCTCAGGTTTTACCACCCGCCAGTGAGAGACCTGCTCCACACGAGTGAACTGAATGCAATACTAATCCTTAATTAGCAACTTGAACACAATTCATAAAAAGCAAAAGTTACAAAAATGTACAATCCTTTTCACAGAAACTTCTCATAAAAGGCTAGTCTCTAAAACATGATTGAAATGTAACCCAACAAAACTTTAATTCATTACAATTTCTATTACAGTATTTTCCTTCATTGTGCTACTCCACATTTACAAACTCAGCCATTTTCAGATAGTACTGTGCTCAATCACCATTGTCTAGCAATTAGACTGGAAACTTAAATGAACTTCATGACACATTAAATCAAAAATTTGAGAGATATAGTCACACAAAAACTAGCTTACAAATCATATATTCCAACAATTTGAAATTAATGCTAAATCTTAAGAGCTATTTAGTATTGGTCACTGCTCTAGTTGCTCTCCAGGAGCCAAGTATCACACAATTAATTAGATATACACATTTTGATAGTCACTGTTTTTCATTACCAAAATAGTAAATATAATATAAATACTGATTTTTCATTTCAAACTATTTAAAAAAAATAATTTACATTAAAACCTAAAACTGTGTATCTTCTGTAACAGGCCACTTAAATATGTGCTGTAAAATTATTAACTCTAATATCATCACAAATCAATGTTTAACTTGACATAAATTTAAAAAGTTGTTTATTAACGGTGCCACTTTCTCAGGATTGTTCAAATGTAAATGATGAGTTCCTTCCACATCATGATGTTCGAAGTGAAATCCAGGTTTCTTTATTAAATCTCGAGTTTTCAAATATACTTCTTCTCTCTCACCACCAAATAGCAAACCTTGTACAGCTCTGATGCTTAAATGATGACATTTAATTCTTGGAGCACATTGTAAGAGATATTCAAATGGAAGACGACCCATTGCATGAAACCTAAGTCGAGGATCACGAGAGAAATAGAAGCTATCTGGCTTTGTAGATGGAAGCATACCCCGCTTTAACAGAACCTTGCAGGACTCGATTGATGGAGATTCTAATGACCCCTTATGTAAAATATCTACAATTTGGTCATAATTGTATGATGGGGGTTCATTTGTTTGCATTTTCTTCTCCAAACTCAATAATTTATCACTTATCATTCTCAGTTGCTGAATTTCTGTCCTCTTGTCAGGTGCCATCAATGTTCGAGCACAATCTATGCTAATATAAGTATTCACACATTCAGGATATATTGCTGCAAAAACGAAACTGACACCACTACCATATGAATGCCCCACTAGAGAGAGAGTATTCCAGTTGAAATATTTTGCTATTCGCCTCAGAAGTAACACAGTATCCAATAAATGGTAAGGTTTGCCAAATGGAAAGTGAGTTGACAATCCATGACCAGGTATGTCAATTGCAAGGAAACTTGGTATTTCCAAAAGGGGTGCTAATGTATCATAAGACCCAGCATTGTCCTCCCAACCATGCAGCCCAATTAAAGGTTGAATATTTGTGTCTCCCCACCATTTCCCTGAAAAAACACATCAATAGTGACAAGGCAGGTATTTTCATACGAATATTCAAAGTTTTTAAAGAAGTCTTACCTGCTATATGACCCCAAGGTACTGGTATTTTTATTTCCTGTACTTCTTTTACTTCAAGTTTTCGGTTAGTCTCGTGCACCCTGCGACTTGGAAGAACTAAAAGTCTGCAAAATTTTGATCTTGCCACTGTCTTCAACATTCTCACTTCAAATGAGAGAATAATAGATTAACACCATACTTTAAATTGTTTATCCACTTTTCAACAGATAAAATAATTCTGTTTAACTTACCTTCACAGCTGGTGATTCAATTAACCACCAAAATACCTCACGTCCGTCCGCGTCCGTCCAAGAACAGAATACTTCGCATGTCACGTCTTACGAAACAAGTGACGTGACGTCACGTCCAAAAATTATTATAAACGCATGGAACATTGGACCCTCTATAACCCTTCCCCTTATAATACGCCCTGAATGTGATGATCAGCATTACTCAGCAGTTCTGTAATATCGATATTATTTTCTATGTACTAAAAGGGTGACATATTCTTAAAAACTTATTCATTCAAAGTAATTTTTGCCCGATATAGTTATTGTCACCGCTACAATTCTTTACTGAATAAATGTCAAATTAAAAGAAAAATATTTTTTTTAAATTATAGGTGATGCAACAGAATGATCGGAAATATTTAGTACGTAATATTTAAACATACACTTGTTTTTAGTATGACAGAAACTGTAATTTCTGCTCATTATTGAAAAAGTCAAATTCAAACGAAGCGCCTTTGATCATATCTGCGTTTCTTTCGATAGCCAGGATCAGTAGTAATTTCTAAATTTTACAAACCTTATAAATTTAAATGCTACAATATTTTCAGCACATTGCATAGAAAAGAAAGAATAATATCTCACACAAGCTTGCCTTAAAAACGAAATAATACACCAAATTTTAATTTTATGTCGTATTAAATACTGCAATTATTTTTAAAAAATATCACGAACCATAAGAAAAGTTTAAAGAAAAATTTGGAGCCGTTTTTGAGAAAAAGGCATTTGAGCGTTTCTAGAAATGCGGAGTTTTGAGCTCATTTTCACAGAAAACTGTTGAATTTTCGTGACACTTTATATAACTTTACTTAAGCACTCATAAATATAATAAGGGATCGTCCATAAATTACGTAACATACATTTGGAGTATTTTGAACCCCCTCTGAAATAAGACATATAGTTACGTAACGCTTGCGACAAGCCCCACCCAGTTCCAGTAAGTAAAATCACTTATAAAGCCGAGATGAGTTGTACTAATTAAATTTATGTTATACATTAAAATTTATTATAATTAATGTGAGAATTGGTTGGTGGTGCAGACTGCGCATAACAATACGTTTGGGTATACATTTTTATTAAAGAAGAACGCGTAGGCGAGAAGATTTCTGTCAAGCCGTATACATGCTGTCGTGGATGACCCCGAGTCTACTTCGCCATTAATTGGGTTCTAGAATATACTATAGATCCGTTTTGAATATTATCTTTGTAATCTAAAAGATTCAATCAATATATCATTGATGACAAATATTTTCATTTATAGTAACAATTTATAGAAGATAACTTCTTTAATTTATTATATTTTTAATTTAATTTGTTCATATGGTAATGTTTTAGTATAAGACTGCATGAAAGCAATTATTTCAGCAAAAATTAAAAAAATAAATATCAGTATCTCTTAACACTAAACTTCCCCCCTTCCGCTATGTAACGCAGCGTAACGCTGCCTCAACCCCCCTCCCCCTCTTAGGCGTAACGTAATTTATGGACGACTCTTAATGGTGAACAAATAGCCACTAATGTAAATGATAACGCTGTGAGAGACAAGTCTCAAAAATTACATTTTTGTAATAAAAAAAAAGAATAGAGCAGTATGGCGTGTATATCATCAAATAGAGTGCATTTAGCACTCTCCTCACCAAGAGTTTAAAGAAAAAAATGGCTCCTTTTTGAGTACATCTTGTTTTTTTAAAAAAAGTAATTGCACAAATTTCACACAATATTGCGCAAAAAACTACTTAAAGTTTCAAAAAAAGTGTACATGAGCTTAATGAGAGAACTAATTACGGATGGAAGAGAACAAATTATGGAAAAGGAAAAAGTTGGCCCAGGGGCTTCAAGTAAAGTACCCAAAATTTTGAAGATTGTTTTTTAAAATATCAAAGCATCGTCTCGAAACAGTTAGACAGGGGCTTCATCAACTTGGAAAAATTCCTACGCATGGTTTTGGCGCTAGTGGTGTTCACGGGCGGACGGACGGACGGACGGACGGACGGACGGACGGACGGACGTTTTAAAAGAACCACTTTTTCGGTATCAGGGGATCCCAATACGTGTTTTTTTTGTTGAAATCTCGAAATCGATTTTCCGCAGCATTATATAACTTTTCTAACTACGTATATTACTCCATATATACGAGTACGTACATATATGGGAAAGTAAAAGCGAGACCAATGCCAAACAAAAAAATGTCGAAACAAAACAAAAGCACACTGAAGTAAATACAGAAAACTAGTATGTGGATATTGCTGAGCAATCCCTATACAGTTCGAATAAAACTCTTGAGTGTATGTGAGACGAGACCACTTCCTCTGCATCAATAGAGACATATGAGTTGTCATTCGACGCATCTCGGGATTGTGATGGAGAACTGGTCATTGTTTTCTGATCCGGCTACAAGATTCAAATAAATTTCCAAAAGCGTGTTTTTATGTGTTTTGGCGCTGAAATCTTGGTGATAATGCCGGGAATTAAATCAGCTCCTCCTAAATCGATCTAAGTAAGTGGTGTTGATTAAACACCTGTAGTGTACCCAAAGTAATTTTTAACTTAATGCGTCGTAATTTTCTTTCACTTTGGCAAAACTGATGTTGACGTCTTTAAGTGCACAATTGAATGAAATCGCGCAGCAGTCTGATAACATTTTAGATTCGAATTATCGTATACAATTGTAAAAGCCGACTAACAGTATTGCCTCGGAACTTATTAAACTTAAAGAATTTCAAGTGACTATGGGGAAAACAAAACTGTGAGTAATGCTAGAGTATGAACGAAAGTTAGGTTCCATTTCGCACTTTTCCGTTCATACGTAATTACGTATTTACGTTTTTGCACATGTAAGTGTGCCCCAAATCTTATTCCTATTAAACTTAATTAACACCTTATAAACATACAAAACAATCGCCTTTTAATGTTAGGTTCGCATACAACGCTAGATTCTCATACAGAACAATTAACAGAGAAATTTGCGACGTAGAAGTAAACACAAATTAGACAGAGTTTGTAAAATATTAAACTCTACAAAAATTAGGAAAGAAAAACACAAAAAGTTAAAGAAATCCGGGGAAGAATCAAATGTAGTAGTAAAAAATGTTGCCACCGAATATTCGGAACTAATTGGGAACGACCTGCACTTTCTCATTAAGCATTTGTGCCAATAAAAATGTGCTATGAACATATTAGCAAAGAGAAATCGACATCGACATGGTAAACCGATATCGACATGCGAAACCGATATCGAAATTGGAAATTGATATAGAAATGATATCGATATCGATATTATATCGAAATTTAAAATTGGTTTCGAAATGGGAAATCGATATCTAAATAGGAAATTGATATCAAAATACGAAATTATAACTAGAACCTCATAGCGGATGAGTAAATCAAATTTTACAAGACAGTGTCTTAGCAAATGCATGGCCAAAGTTGTGGGAGAAAGTTTTTACAACAGGATACTGGACATCCTTGTCCAAACCAGGACATAGAACTAACCTATACTCGCCAAAGTCTCATCTATTAAAATTGTTGCACTGCACAGCGTAAAACGTGATTAACAATCACGTAACCAGTAGCGTATATATAGTTGCATAATAGTTGCAATAGTAAAGCATTGCCGGGTCCACTAATAGTTTCTAAATTATTGTAGCAGTGGTTACCGTCCACTGAAATATGGAGTAAAGCCTTACTCGCTTACGAGAAAACGCGGCATTAACTGCTTTTCCCACTATTTCCCCGTTCTTTTTGTTTTTCGTTGTCCGTTCTAATTGGAGAATTTCTGTGAATTTCTCGCGGGCCTCGGTGCGGCCGCTCCATGCTTAATCCGGGCCTGAGTATCCAGCCTTTCGAGGATTCAGCAGCTCTCTCGATATTCTTCATGATTTGCTGGTTCATTACTGGCGTTTACAGGAATTGCGAGATCAACCAATGAAATCATAGCAGTTTTCCCTTGTAGCATTCGACGATTCAAAAGAGAACAGTTCAGACCTCAGTTCTTCGAGACGGGATCGAGAGTACAAAAAGATGGAACCTTCTATCATTCTGGCATTTACTGGGCCATAAAACTACATTCATATATTACATTACATCGTACATTACTTCGAAGATTGTTTCCACCGATGGCTGGTATATTTTGAAAAACGTCCAAGAAAGCTATAATGAAAAGTTCATTTCATGATAAGAGAACGTAAATATACAGTTGTGAAGAATGGAGAAAAACAATATTTTTAATAGGCAGTCCTAATTTTCTCTCAATCCATGTGAGGCGTTCTTTGATGCATGCTTACCTTTTTAATTTCTTCGAAGTGTTGAAATCTCTTTCCTGCACCCGGACTTACTGAGAAGCACTAGGGCTAGCTCTTCCTCTTTTTTGAATAGATGGAAGAATCAGGATATATGTAGCTGTATATTATTCAAATTATTTTGCTAAGAGTCGCAAGGTATTTAGGGGTCTACCATAAAATGAGGTTATTTCACATTGGTAAGTAAAGTATCTTTTGAGTAGTCCCTAACAAAGAAATAATGTTGCATAATTTTTTCTCTTAACAAAATTTTACAATTTTGATCTTGGCAACTGAACTGCCTTAGAAGTCATTTAATGCATCTAGCCTGTCCCTTTGGAAGCATTAAACCATTTTGCAAATATCATTAACCCTAATATGAAACCGTCGGTGAATTCTATTCACCAGCCAGACCTTTTGGTCTCTCATTCCTTGAAACTTCAACGATACTCCACGCCACACTCTGCACCCATCTTTTTATCAACATCTGCTTTGCGTGCATTTTTAGCTTTACTGTCAAATACATTGTGTAAACAAACTTCACCATGCTCCGTGTACAACACCTTCAGGTTCAATTTTTAATACTGATGATAATGATGATGATTATGATTAAGGTTTAAGGGCGCTTCAGCAGCTGAGGTCATTGGCGTCCGTGTCAATTTTTTAAGAACAATACGCACAGTAGCAGTGCGAGACTAAAACATGTTTTTTAAGGTACAATGTAAGTAAAATTAAAAACAAATATGGTCAATTATTTAAAAGAGTTGGCTGAAAAGGGCCATATACTTAAAAATTTCAAATTATAAGCCACATAATTGGCATAATCCTCTTCTATCAGATAATGCTGCACAGTCAGATTCTCGTAAGAAGCTAAAAAGCTTGCAGAGAGAAGATTCGTCATTTTCAAGTAACTGTGCCAGAGAGCTAGCAAGGTGAAGCCTTCGCCGGCTATCTCTCACCTTAGAACAGTGCAGGAAAACATGCTCCACGGTAAGATCCGTAACTATCGCATGTAGAGGGTGGGGTCACCGCGGAGATGTCCCTGGGAGTAATAAGTGACCAATCCGAAGGCTTGGTCTTGACCACGAGATGAAGAGGACCAAGGCTTCACGGAATCCTTGATCCTCGTGAGTTTAAAGTCTCAGTTTGGCCACATGCGCTGAGAATACGTTTCATAAAATGCTTGGTATCTTTGTTGGGACTGTGAGGATATCTACCTCAGTTTTCTTTGTGGCAAGCTATGCTGCCTGGTCAGCAATTTCGTTCCCTATTATCCCAACGAGATTTGGAATCCAACAAAAGAAATGTAACGACGCAGTAAATTACGGATTAGGTGCTGGATGATTGTTTTCAGACGGTCACAAGGAGAGAAGCAGGAGATAGATTCGAGCGAGGTTTTTGAATCAATGCAGATCACAGCTTCTTTTGATGTCATCGATTCAGCGAACTTAAGTGCCTCCAAGAGCGCTTATATTCTGCAGTATTAGCGCTGCACGAAGAGTCTAGTCGAAGACTCCGCATGGCACTGTGACAGTAGAACGCACATTACCATTCAGAGTACATGAAGGTATAGTCGGGATACATGGATTTCGTCTCCTGGAATTCCACCAGAAATTTACTGGGGGAAGTTGAGGATTTGGGGAAGTGTTATAAACGCGGCCGGAGAAACTTCCAAGGCGGAACAAGGTTTTAGGGGGTTTCACAGGGATGGGGAGTTTTATATCGACTTTCTGCAAGCGAGTGTACAGACGAATACCCGGTAACGATGGTTTCAGTTCGTACGATGTCCTGTGACTTGGGTGAAGAACTGCCTGGCGCGAAGGCATATTTATGGCTGATACTTTCGCACCGTAGGAGCCGGTTACAATATATCGCTTTCAGCTCAGGGATGGTTCACCAGCCTCGACCAAGAGGCATTCAATGCTACTCGAGCGGTAGGCTGATCCGTATAACAGCATTGTGTATGGTATTTAAGGAACGGAGGGTCGATGTAGACGCTGACCCATACACAATACACCCATAATCCAAGATAGGACGAATGATAGTCCTATATAGGCGCAAAAGACATGCTCTGTGCCTCATGATTTACCGGTAAGGGTGCGAAGTTTCAATGGAGATACACAACGTCTCTTCAAGTTTTGAATGTGATTTCTCTATGTTAAACTCTTGTCGAAAGTCATGTCTCAATAACTTGCATGCTTTTCGAGGTGCACAATATACCAAAGTCATCAACTAAGAGCGATGCTTTCACAGGCTCTCAAATTGCTGATGCGATAATATTGATAGCAACAGCGAACAGTGACACTCAAGAGTTGATGCCAGGGGAACACCGTTTTCTAGTTAGTGACTTGAGGATAATGTGTCGTCAAGGCGGACGCGGAAAGATATTGACGAAGGAAAATCTACTAGAAACGAACAGAGATGGCTCCAAGAACACAAGGTGCGACGAATGCCGTACAGCCAGGCGGTGTCACGCTTTCTCAATGTCGAAAAAAATTGCTACCAGGTGTTGTAGCACGAAAGAAGTGGAGATCCGAAGGAAGGGTGACTAAGCGTTCCACATTTGACCTGTGTTTCCTGGAACCACTCTGAACAGGTGTAAAGACATTTCTTTGCTCCAGGAGCCAGACCAGACGTTTGTTTACTATTACGTTCTAAAAGCTTGCACACACAGCATGTGAACGAGATTGGGTGGTAACTTGAAGGGATTGTTCTGTCCTTTCCTTCTTTAGCGATTGGAATAACAATGGCTTCACGCCAAATCCTTGGTAAGGAATATTTATCTCAAAGAGGAGAAAATAACGGACATTTCCGGTAGGTTTTCAAGCATTTGATTATGTATCTAGTCTGGTCCTGGAGCAGAATCTTTTGCACAAGCGAGGGCATAGGAAAATTCATCCATGGAGAAAGTATCATTGTAGTCTTCCCCCACGCATCTAGTCTGCAGTTCTCCATTCTTCTTTTGATTTTCAGAGCTAGGAGAGTAGTGTACGGAGTTAGAGATATGCTCGTTGTGAGAGGCCAATTCTTCAACTATATCTTCTAGTGAGGTGATCGATATCCATTTATACGAAGCTGAGACAGACGACGGAGGAAGTTTTCCACCGATTTGTCGAACTTTTCGCCACTCTACTATAGGGGGCGTACGGCAAGTGATGAAATATAGGCCCTCCAGGACGCGGCCTTACTTTCTCGTATGGTCAATCCAGCTCTGGCTCGTGATCTTTTATAATTGATCAGATTATCCATGGTTGGGATACTACTAAGCTTCGCCAAAGCCCGTTTCCGATCCCACACCACGGAGGCACAGTCGGCATTCCACCATGGCACGGAGGGTGTCGTGGGTGACCCGATGACTTCGGGATGGCAATTGAGGCCGCATGAAGAACGGCAAAGTAAAATGGGCAATTATAGCATCAATATCGTTAGGGTGTTTTCGATATTCGTATTTCTTTCTCGAAACTTTCCCACTCAGCTCGGTGGATTAGCTAACGAGGGGGGCGAGCAACGTTTCGGTCGGGGATATCGAAATTGACCAGAATGGGGAAGTGGTCACTGCCACGCCGGTCGCCAAGGACAGTCCCCTCAATGACAGAGAGAGATGGACTACAGATGCCAGATCATTGGACGAGAAAGTGTTTGAAGCAACACAGATATGTGTGCTTTCGCCAGCATTCAGAAGAATTAAGTTCTGGCTGTCAATTATATTTTCGAGTATATTGCCTCTCCAGCAGGTCCTAGTTCTACCCCAGACATTAAAGTCCCCCACGAGGAGGGTAACCGAGATAACATATTCAAGTTCCTCTTGCGACACGACTTTACCAGGCGGAATATAGACGTTGCAAATAGTTATTGACATAGTGCGGAAGTTCACACGAAAGTGTGGTTCGTACGTCTATTTCTTAGGACACCAGGGAGTCTATGACAAATGTAACGACTTCGCCATGTGCCCGCAGGCATTTATCAACGTCTTGCCCTCAGCAGCAAAAGCCACGAAGAGAGGAAATGCTCAGGAAGATGGTTTCCTGTAGGCAGATGACATCGGGTCTATGCAGAGACGTTATCAGCTTTAATTCATCTAAACGGGTGCGAAAGCCATCCACGTGCATCGAAAGAAGAGCCATAACTTTTAGATGTTAAGTTTCTTACTTTTAAAGGGATTTTTTCTTCACTTTTCCTTTTATGCCTCTGTTACCCGAAGGGGCGATTTGACTCTTGAAGAAAGACAAGTTCCTCACTTTCGGACGCAGTCATTGTGATTGACCACTCCCTACCATAGGTTAAGGGTAGGGCGAATGGTCACTTCCACCTGGAGGCCGGCCATCGGCTTTGTTTTCGAGATTTTTTTTTTTTTTTTTTTTTTTGCTTTTGCTCAACGGTGCGTGCTTCGAAGACAATGGTACCATTCCTCTGACGCATCACCGCTTGGAGTTTACCGAAACTGTCCTCAATGGCTTGCGCGAGACGAACAGCACAAGTACTTTTTAATGTTTTTCTTTCTTCCGTGCACGCCATCAAAAGGAAAGGTGGCTTCTTTGGTTTATATTCTTCTTCAAGGAAGAAACTACTCAAATCTATCGTTTTCTCAAAACATCACCTCTACCTTCCGGAAGAGGGCAAGGGCTTTTTTATGCTCCATAGAATTAAACCGGATTCGTCTCCGTGCTCCCCAACCCACCACAGAGTTCAACAAGGGGACATCCCACTGGGTTGCCAGGGCTAACATGATATAGTGGGAAGATGTCACTGTGCTGCTGCCGCCCCGCCGTGGCCCCCCGCCCACCCTGGTGTTCAGTACAAGACCTAGTCCGAGCCGATTGATCGGGAGTGGGATAGCTCTCGCCCGCCCGTCTAGAAGAGACAGAGGCCAAAGCAAGTGTGTTAGAAACCTACAAGGAATGTTCCCGAAAGTACGTACACAACGTATCCCTAGGAGCAAGGCAGAAAGTAGCACAAGGAGTAGTTGGGAAACAAACAGGTCCCTGAACTGGCAGGACACACCTTCCCTCCGACACACATTGCTTTGCACGGCAAACGTATAGGTGCACGTTCATACAGGGGAGGGGGCAGTGAAATAGAAGGGGTAGAAGAAAAGAGACAGGGTGTTATAAAAGAACAAGAATGAACGATGAAGGAAATCAAGATGATTGGTGAGAGAAAGGAATACTTGAGAGCCTTCTCTGCATTGCCCCGTCAGGACGTGGCGGGTGACCTACCTTGGCGGGTTGTGTGTATCAGAAGATTGAGTACATTTTATTTACTTTTAAAACATCTTGGATTGACATTGTATAAACACATAGAGGAGTGAAAATTGGCTGCAAAATGAATAAGTAGTCATTGATACATAGTGGATGAGTGGATAATAATGAGGATGAATGAATAATAATGTGACAATGAACTGTATTATCTTTTAACTTTCTAAATAAACAACATTCATATAATGTAATATGTATAAAATGTGAAAATCAGTATGTAATGTTTTGATAAGTCCAATGTTAGTCATCAATATTCAGCTTTTAGTAATTTCATGTGTAATGTCACTTCATAATTATTTTTAGCATTTAAGTTATGACTATATTGCTTTTTGTAAATTATTCATTATTACATTTTTTTAAAGTTTCTATTAAACATGACAATACTGGTTACCAGAGAGTCAATCAAAAGCTATTAAAACCTAATTTGTTTCTTATCTTACAAAAAACTTCAAAATAACAGTGGTTAATGGAATTCACCAAATACCTAATAACATGAGTGATTTGAGGTACCTGTTCTAGGTTTAATCTCTGCCCACCTGATCTGCTTTGATTTTATGGAACAGGGCATTGGAGAAATGATAAACATTAAAATAAAATAATTAAATGTTTAACAGAAAATTATATTTCTGCAGAGCAGTATAATTTTATAAATAATGTGGAGATGTTGGTTTAATATGGGTCATTTATTTTCTTATATTTTTCTTCTTCATAAGACTTCCTTTCTGAGCACCTTTACCAGCTCCTCTTACTAAATTTTTGAACTGGCCAGCATGTTTCATCTTTTTCCTGAAAACAAAGGTATTAAAAAAATGTATTGAAATTTCCGAGCAAAATTTTCATTAGAAGATAAATTTTCCGGGCTGGTAGGCCGTGGTCCAGTTGGCATTGAAGAGCCAAATGTTTCGCCCACATCTGCCCAGAAAACTTATCTTCTATTGACTCTGGCCGAAGCCTAAGACGATGCTATGTAAAATTTTCATTGTCAGTAAATAAAAAAGTTCACTTACAATACTTTGCTTGACATTATAAACATAATGGATGAAGTTCCAAATATGGCTAATTAGTGAGTAAGCATATTAAATCACATGGATATCCATAAGGTTATTATTATTGTTGTTGTTATTATTATTATTATTATTATTATTATTATTATTATTATTATTATTATTATTATTATTATTACGTACAGTTAATCCTTCATATATAAAAACAGCGGTTATCACAAGATGATAATTTGTAAAAATTGTATAATGCTCCTGTTACTCTCATTCAGTTTCGTTAATGGTTCACTGTATGGACTAATTTTTGTGTTGAGTAATTTTTGTTTGGGTCCTATTATTTAATTCCTCATTATTTATAATTGGACAATGTAACTCAAGTTAATGTCAGCTGCAATGTGACATAAAAGTTACAAGAGTTTCTTGATTTGTTAATTTAGATAATTATTTTATTTTGCTTTGCTCGTTGATTTGTCAATACAAATTTTGAAAATGGTAATTAAGTATAACTTAGTTTTCATATTAGCCTGATGCCAACTGACATCTCTTTTTATTTATTTACAATTTATTTGTTATTTTACATAATTTGACGATTTTGATTTCTTTTTGACTGTTGAGTTTCCTCGGAAAAAAATCTTAATTCCAATAAAAACAATTCATGCATCATACAGTAACTGGCAAACAGTACTGATGATGGGTGAACTATAATCAACAACGGTAATACAAAAAAGAAAAAACAAAACAAAACAAACGTACAATGTAACACACCCCTCTCTGACAAGTACATACAGTACTTATAGAGGGTTTGAAGTGTACTGAATAAGATAAAATAAATGTAATAAATATATTTAAATTTAAAATTTAAATCTGATAAGACTAGTATTTTTACTGAAAGGTTAAACAGGATGTATAACGTATGTAAAGTAGTCAAACAAATTGGTATTCTTTCTTATTGTTTTTATGGTTAAGGTTTTTGCACACTTTCAATGTAATTCTTTTGGAAATAAATTATCATTATGATTATTATTATTAACAATGATAATAATAGTAATAAATATATTATTATTATTATTATTATTATTATTATTATTATTATTATTATTATTTATTGTAAATTGTGTAAGCGTGAAAAGGTCAGAGTGATGTGATTCAGCCCACTAATCCTTCTCCGTAGCTTTTCATGCTCTCCAGAGTATTAATATTTTTTTCAATCAGTCAAGAATCAGAATGTTTATGATCTTTTTCTTCATTTATCAAGAATAAGAAGTTTTAGAGACAAACTGACTGTTGCAGAGATAGTTTAGTTGTTTGAAGAAAACATTCAAGGCAACGTTGGTGATGGTGGTGGTGACGATGACAATACACACGTAAATATTTTCAGTGCACCATTACCTGTGAATGAGCTAACAGACAAAGACCGTGATGATGAGGGAACAGGAGGTCTGCTGGACAATTTACGTGGTAATCAATTGGTGAGTGAAGCTGAGGCAGTTTTGTCTAATGGAATTCGCATTAGAGGCTCATTACATGGAAATGGATAGACAATGGTGTAGTTGTAGTTGTGTCAATTTAGCTTGGAGAATCTCCAATCAAGTATGTAAAGAGATATTCATCAAAAGAGTAAAAACATTAATGTGACTCAGCCAGAAATTATAAGCATATACAATAGAAATATCGGTAGTACCGATCGAATGGATCAAGATATAAAAGAGTATTGTATATCTACGACAAGTTCTGGGCAATATTGTCATGGCTCATAGATGAAGCGATAAATAATGCTTAGCAGATTTACAAAAAAAAACAGGTTGGTTAGAAATTCAAAAGAGACATTGCCATCACACACCTCACAATATATAAAGCAGCAGTCAAAGATCTATATAAGAGCTCTGTTGTCAAAGAGGTTAATACAAGTTTTGGACAACATTCATTGCAATCAAGCTGATCATCATCTTGGAGAAGTGGAAAATAGAAAGAGAAGAGGGTATGTAAATGATAAATGCAAAAGTGTCATTGTGTCAAGCTGCATGAAATATACATTGAATTGTGCTTGAAACACAATGCACTGTTTCGCACAAAAAGATGAATACTAATTTTCCAATGTTTGAAATCAAACTTTTTTTAAAAGAACAGAATAGGAAAGTTTAATTTGTTTGATATTGATATTGTGGTCATTGACCAGTCATTGCACCAAAGAAGTGTCAACCCAGTTTTTCACCCAGTATATTTATCACCACTAAAAGACATCTGTGATGAATTTGTCATGTACACTCACTCCTCACTGATACGTAGAATAATTTTTTAAACATTTGTTAGCAGTTAAACTGAAGTTGTTGAATTAAAAATATGAGAATTCTGAATTTTTTATGAAAAATAATTCTTGTCTTTGTAGGGCAAAAATGCATTCAAAATTATCCATTGCACATGCTCAAAGTTTGCAGTTTTTGTAAATCACAAAGCCTGGAGACTCTTTGCTCCAACTCGCAATGCACATTGAGCATGAACTGAGGTATATAGTGGAGTTAGAATAGGTAGTTTTGTGTAAATAAAAGTTTATAATTGGTGTGGTGGTGTTCAAAATTATACACCTTCTCTCTCAATAGCCTTCCCCCCAGCAGTCTCATTGGTAGGTATCACATAATATCTACTATTCCTTGTCAGCAAAACATACTTCACCTATCATTTAAATAATATTTCTGACTACTTGACAGCTAGAAGCTGACTGGGGAGAGATGGTTCCAATATCTAATCAGAGGTTTCAAATTCTACTGACATTACTGGAGAGTGACCAATACTTATGGAAAAAGAAAAAAATTACTGGGCTAAGCAACTGTAAATTGAGAGCACCATTACTTCTTTGGTTATCCATCATGTGTGTAGTTCTGTGTCACCTACTCTTATTTTGATTTACTATGTGCTACAACTGCTATTATTCATGCATGTTTTCTGGATCCCCGAAATAACTACCCCCATTCCTTTGCCAATATTAGCTGAATTAAGAAAAATGATAGCAATGAGTGTTGGTTGTAGACCAAATCTGATAACCAGAAATATTCGCTCTTGTGTATAAGAAACTACTTTACATCTACTTATATAATGAACTAAAAGTTTGATATAAAATTCCTTTCATCAAAATAAACAAACTCCCCACTCCTCTCACAACTAGCAAAGCGACAGCTCAAGGAAACATTTGCAGATATTACTGTTGTGATCTGATGCAAAAACAACCATGTGTCTGGTGCCTAAGTAAGTGGCAACATCACTCTACCACCATCCCAGCGGTCAAGTAGGTAGAAATATTATTTGGGCAATAGCCCAAATGGGCCTAGCCACCTAATGTTGGCAAATGTGCACTTCGTCTAGCTAAATCCTGAAGTATGATTCACAGCTGTTCCTTTGGACTTCATCCACCCATCTTGAATAATGTGAACAATTAATAGCAAATCCATGAATTAGCCAGATTTGGTCATTAGCACTATATTTATACACTACATAAATCAAAAGCACATAATATTTTTTCTCAAGATCAATCATAGAAAGATAACCTAATGGCACCAAAAAAATAGTGGGAACATAAACTCAATTTTTTTTATTATTGACAATGTTTTGTTAATTTCCTCATTTCAAATTAGAGATGCGTCATCAATAACAAAACATCAATGTGAGGGAAAATCGATGTTCAAAATTAAAACATTGACTAAAACCAATTGATGCTGTTCAACTAGACTGCTTTAATAACCTCTAATATTAAACTTGTGTGCATTAACATTTAATTTGAGTTTGTCAATTTGCGAATAAGGGTACGACAAGGGGCAGACCCTACGCCCACAGCGTATCTTGAGCGAGAGAGTTTGGTCGATGAAGGTAGTACATACAGCATTCCTTTGGTTCCAACACATGAACTGCAGTGTTACCATCAGTTAGTATTTCATTTTTTATCTTTTACAGTATTGTGATCTTGAGAATTATTCACTTAGAAACAAAACATAGGAAAAGAAGAAAAACATTCATTTCGATGTTGCATCCCTATTTCAAGTAAGGTTTTGCTTACCTCCTGTTCAACAATTTTCTTGAAAGTGGAACATATGCATACGGATCAGGAAGTCCTTTCTTTTTGATATCACCTTTTCCTTTCTTTGCTCTATATTCTTCTCCAGTTGTACCAACAGGACCCTTTTTAGAATTCTTACTTTTTGATTTAGCAACAGGTCTATGAATTCCAGAACCTCCAGCTTAAAGAGAGTTAGTATAATGTTAAAATCATTGAATCTACAGAAAAAACAATGCCTTGTACTGGCCTTATTTTAAGAGAATGACCAACAATTACTCACCTTGGTACTTCGATGGAGGTTCACTGGCATTGCTGCCAACAGTCAACTTTCTCTTTCTATTTACAGTTCCTTGCACTGATTCAGCTCTACTTACAGTATCATCCATTTCATCATCTAAAACGATTTAATATAAAAAAATAAATTTATTACTTGGAAAGGCATTTGGACAATAATAAAACAATCTACCATAACAATCTTTTGTTAAATCAATCGTAAATGAAAAGAGTATTACCAGAGTCTTCTTGATATTGTGCATTTCTCCTTCTTACTCCCTCATCATCACTTCCATCATCTGTGACGATTAATCTGCCATCAGATGACATTTTAAAAGGCATATCATCCTTCTTTTTTTTCAACTTCTCAACAATATTATTTGTTGAGGATGGTAGTGATGCTATAAAAATGAAAAACCAATGTGATATTCCCAGGGTATAACACAGTACACTTTCTAGTCTAGTTCAATAGATCAACCTTAGCCATATGCATAATTTTACTTAATCTCAATTTCACAATTAATTTTCCAAACACCACAAATCTTCAAAAATAATACTAAAAAGTTCACATATAAAACATACCAACAATTTTTTTGTTTGCACCAGCATCCATAAAGTCAACAATTGAATCAGCATCCTCATGAATCCATGTATTGTGCCTCTTCTTTTTGGTGGTCTGAGAATCTTTGTTTGAAGTATCTTCAAAATCTGAATCAGACTCTTCTAAGATCTCTTCAATTCTGTGTAATCAAGCAAGTGAACAAACAGGTTTATTATTCAATTATCTATCATATAAATATTGGATGTTAATAATGCTTCTTTGCAAAACAAATAACCATACACATCTATTTGTCAACAATATTTTCAACAAACAATAAATAATGTGTAAAGAAGTTAAGCTTTCGTAAGGAAGTTAAACTAAGAATTAAAGATGCGTGAATTAATTGCAGTGAAATCTCATTAGCACATTGCTTATTACCACATTTTCTTGCATAGTAGTCAGTATTTTTAAGCCATGTTCCTTAATTCCATTGAATTACTAGTTTACACATTTAACAATCCCAATTTGTATGTTTAAGATTGTCAGAAACAAGTTCTGCGATTCACACATTTTCCAGATCAGCAGCACATTCTTCAAAAAGTGTTACTTCTATAACACTTAGGGACACTTGAAGATACCACTGAATACAGAGGGATACATTCTGAGAAGGTATTATCAGTCTGATTTCTGACCTAGAGCCAGAGCTCTTCTGTGCTTGTGTCATCTTCACTCTTTTTGTTTTTATATTGTCATATTTTAAAGCATGTTCATACCCAAGGCTTGACTTCTGAAGGAATGCAACAGAATAGTGTTCTGGAACCTCGGGAATAATAATTAAATTATATTATAAATATGTAACTATTTTGTGCACTATTTCCATGAAATTTCAATTTTGTTTGGTATATTACTTGCAATTAAATATAAGTTATTTTGGGTGTATTTGTGAGCTGTTAATATAAAGAAGTTTCTATTGACAATTATGGCATCTGAAGATGGAAAAGTAATAAGTACAAAACAAGCATTTTTTCAGTAACACGTTTCCCTCACCTTCAACAAACAACATTTTTCATCCCTTAAAAAACATAATAATGAGATTTAACTGTATACAAATAGGGATGGATAGAACTGTTTTCATTGGATTATGTAAAAATTTAATTGGAGAAATTTCTACATTTTCTGCACTGTAAAAATTGTAAATGTCCCTGCCGACATGCATAGCGGATTCTGGAGGGGGTGGCCATGCTGGGCCACCAAGGCCCAGAGTTTTCGTTTGATACCTTCTTTTATTTGGGGAAATTGATTTAATTATTTACTTGTTAGAATTAAAAAATAATAGAATATAGTATCGTATATACACTACAAAAATAATTAAAATTTAATAACAAATATGTTTATTGTTTAAAAATAATCTATGATGGTCCCCCTCAAAATGATTGGCTGGATATGCTCTGTATGCCAATGATGTATGAGTAGAAAAATATTTTGAACAAAATGACAAAATATGTAATGAAAATGAAAAGAATATGGAACAAGTAATACGTAAAATTAAAAAATGCTCTACTTATAGAACATTAACAAACAAATACATTTACACAATTTGAAATTATATTATTTAAACATTAATAAAATAAGTATTTAATAATAAATATTGCTTGGCATACTGGATTAATTTCTTTTTTCAGAGTAGATTTTTATCTTAAGAGCAACGATAGCCATTTTACAAACTTGGGAACTCAATGACAGGCAAACCATCACAGTATTTTGTATTTTTAGTGCTACAGGTGTGTAACAACCAATATTTTTTTTAAATTGGATTTAAAGATCACATTACACAACATCATTGCCACTTTCCACACCTACAAGTAATATTCTTAGCATTCATGTGCAGATGCCAGCTGTTTGGTATAATGGTTAAGCTGAGAGCTTGCAAAATTAAATACCTGAGAATGAATCAAAGCACGAGGAAACCTTTTTCTGGTTTGATAACAATTTTGCACGTAGAATTATACTATGAATCTGTTACAATAATGCGAGTAAGTATGTGTTGTCAAGACCCACTAGTCTACCTTGGTCTGTACATGGATTTTTCTTTGCTCTCATGTATCCTAGTTATAATTGATAAGCAGTTATTTAGAAAAGGGCAGCAGGAAAAAAATCATCCACAACCCTTATATTTCTGAAACTTTGGAAAACAATCTTCCTGTTCGTTTTTATGAAATACTAGCCAGTGTACTTCTAATTCCCAAATGAACCTGCTGAGATAATTTGAAGTGGCAACATTACAGAAAAGAAATTGAAGTAAAGATAAGTCATGCAGCATGTATGGGCGACAAAAAACTCCTTACGTTTTTGGCCGGTTTCTAAGTATAAAAAGATCATTTTCATCTGCTTCTTCATCTTCATCATCATCATTCAGTGATTTTTTCTTTTTTCTTTCATTTATTTTTTTAAGGTTCCGTAATCGCTTATGCATTATAACATCGTTAGTAGGTACTAATCCTGCCACTGCATCATAGCCAAATTTACGTATGAAGCGATCCAATATATCTCTACATTTTTGTCTGAAGTGTCGTTTACAGTCCTCTGTCATGGCCAGCAAACTCTTGACCTGAAAATAAAAATAAGTTTTACTTCAATAAAAAATGAACTTTGGTATAAATACATACATATTATCTAGAAAATAGAATACTGTATTCACAGAATTATTAAATACAATTCCTGCATATTACCTAGAGTAACTTGACATCCATATAAGTTAATATATTTAAAAAAATGTACAAGCGCAAGTTTGATTAGCATACTCATGCAGCACTTTTATACACACCATAATAGCATGAGAGCTTTTACAAATCTATAAAAACTACTAGCAGACAAAAGAAATATAAATTTTGAGACAATGAAGCAACATTATTAATTTAAAAAATTCATTCAATAATTGATTGCTTTGTTTCACCATAAAAGCCAAAGTAAATAAAAAAAAGATTTTGGTGCTCTACGCTTATACTTACAATTGGAGGCACAAATGGACCCAATGAAGTAATAGGTATTGACTTTGTAAAAGCTTTAATGAAACTTAAAGCTGATGCAACAATTTCCCGAACAGCTGATACAACCAGTAAGCAGACATTATCAAGGAGCAGCTTGTGAAGGTCATTTGACATCACATCTGTAATTCAGACACTAAATAAATTTAAAATACAGGTCAATTTGAAGTATTTATGAGAATGAGATTAGTAATATTTGCAAAGATACTATGATATAAAAATATTTCTCTGAACTTAATGAATTCCATTACACATTTTTGGGAATTAAAGTGTGTTTTTTACACCATTTTTGAAACAACTATGTACATGAAGGACATAACCAACCAAACAGTATCAAATAAACTCTGAAATAAAAACTCTACAGAAAATGTGCATATTCCCAAAAAGTTTTTTTGCTCTTGAGGTTAATAATTACAAAACTAAAATGCATAGAGTACCAAAGACAAAATAATATTCTTGCACAAATTAGCACCATCATTAATTTAATGTGGCACACAAGAAACAGAAGAAGTATCCACTGACCCTTGTATTCATAAATAACTTTTCCAAGAGCAAGCAATGTTGCAGATACCAATGTAGCTGGCCCACTCAGACCAGCCATTAATAGTGAAATATATTCTTCCAAAGATTCTGTCTTGTTTTTATCAGACAATCTCTGGAAAGAAAAAGAAAGGAAAATCAAACAAATATGCTCATTGGTAATTTGAATATATATACAAAAAGGTATATGAATATAAAGAAGATGTATCTATAGATGTGTTACCCTTACCTCCAGTGTGTCACCGATCAAAATTAATAGGCTGAATGCACTTTCTCTACATTTTTCATTATTATCCTTACAGCAGAGCACAGCTTCTGGGATAATTTTTTTTAGTGTGCTTATTTCATGTTTTTCCATATTCTGCACTAAATATATGAGACATCGTATGCGAGGCTAAATTACAGAAAGAAAAGTTATATTGGAAGCTGTAATGGTCTTTTGTAAATACTATAGCAGCACTAATAAAAACACAAGTTACATATCTTAGCACAGGCATATAGAAAATGCACACTTAACAATAAATAATTTTGAAGAAATAAATAAGAGGTTATTCTGAACATGACTGATCAAGAGTTTATCATGAACATTTCTAATTGGTGAAATGTAAAAGAATCTAAAGGCTTCCAGTTATCTATTCCAATGAAACAAGAGAAATTCAGGCAGGAAAGCATACAGAAAAAAAGAGAAAAGTATTAGCCATGCTGAAAGATGGAAGAAGGAAATTAGAAGAAGTGCGAAGGAAGGTTCTTCAGGAAAAGTCTTGCAGATTCAGGTGGAATTCACTATTTCATGCAGGTAACTTAAAATCCAATTTACAAGTAAAAGTACTAGCTCACAAAAAGAAACCAAATTGTTATTCTGATTTTCATCTACAATAATATTAACTTCTATTAAATTGCTAATTATTCAGTGTTGCATAATTTTGCAACAGTATGTTGTTTTTTTTGTTTCATGGCAATATACAAATGTTTTTGGTAATATTTTGATTGTTTCAATGCATACCCCTTTTGTAGCTGCTGTACATGATGTCATTGAATTTAGAAGTAGATTTTCAATGTCTGACATTTTATCTTTGACAAATACTCGACAAGATTCCGCACTATTGCTACATAATTCTTCCAGTAATCTGCAAAGGAAAACGTTTTCTTTCACTATACAATTTCTTTTTATTTTCCAGCACAGGCATCTTTAATATCATACCTATAACTTTTCTTTTGATGCCCACTTTTAGGGTCTCTGATAGACTTTTCAATTCGAGAAAATAATGTATTCAATTTCTGTGTGTTTTGATATGAAATCAAACAACGTAGTAAGTCTAGGATACTTTCTCTAGTAAACTCATTAACATCATCCTGATCCAATTTTTCAAAGGCTTTATCAAATAATTCTTGTGTCAATTCAGGAGTAGAAATTGTCAAATATACCTAAATGAAAGAACACACAAAACACGATTAACCCAAACACTCATCACAAACAATCATTCAATTGCATAACAATTTCAAGAAAACAAACATGAGAAAAGCAGTACAAATAATAATAATAATAATCAGCATTTTTACTTTCAGCATTACAGTACTTTGCCTACTCTATGCAAATATATATAAATATATGACAAAGTAACAGATGAATATTATAGAAATATATGACAATTAGAATCGACAATTACAACTGATAATTATACTTTAATGGTCTTCCCATGAATTTAAAAACCTCTGTGTCTGTCATACTAGCTGAATTAAGATGCACCTTTTGTTAGAGATTTAAATAGCACCTTTTGTTAGAGATTCCACACTTTAGCTAACACCTTTTTAATGAGTTAAATAGTATTTGTAGTTTTACAAAAACACTTGCACACAATTTGAAGGAAAAAAGGTCTGGGCAAACATAATTACTAAGTGTTTGACAATAGGCTTGAAACATCAATGAATTAACGAGGTATCTTACTTTGATTGTTTCAAGAGCAGCTAATCTCTGACCTGCTTCATCAGAACCAGATGGTTTAGTGGTATATACATTGAAAAGGATTGGCAAGTAGTTTTTCGCAAATTTCTTCAACTCTTTCACATTGCTCTCATTGTAGTTATCTCTATTGAAAGTAATTAAACGACGCAAAGCAGTCATCACAGGAATTCTGATATCTTTGTACTCTGTGATGATAACTCCTAAAATTTTTGCAATGCCCTGCAAAAAGATTTTTTCATAAATATTAAATACAAAAAACAAACAATATAAACAATATATTAATATAATACCCTATATAACATGATGAGAAAGTTCATTTTAATGAAAGTAGAGATACCTTGAAGTTTTCCTGCAAATCTGGAACATTATGGCAGAAGCTAGGAAGTAGTGACCAAATCTGGGACTGTAGGAGGGAATAACTATGAATGGCAACTTGACTTTCCGCGGTTTGAGCTTGTTTTCTGGGAAAGAAAAAGAGAAAACAACAAAAAGATTTAAAATGAACCACACTTTTTTCCATCACTAACATTAATATTAACAATAACAGCACCACCTTCTTTATTTTTTGGAATGTTGTACATTGAGATGGGCCATATTCATCTCGGAATGAATATGAAAAATCATTTATCTAATATACAAAAGACAATGTTTGTTTTTGGTTCATGCTTATGTGCTACTACACTGATCATCTGATGGCGATAAAATTTTGTCAAATTATTGATTGTACATCCACGAAGAATAATAGGCATAGCCGATATGTACATGCCTGCACACATAGACGCGCGTTAATGATGATTTTATGTAGACTCAAATGGCCTGACAACTGTGCTTAATGCCATGGTGCTCACTACACAGCCCGCCACACACTGATGATTTCATTACGTATTCTGACCCTGTGATTGTGAAGTATCTCCTGGGAGAGGAGAGAGAGAGAGAGAGAGAGAGAGAGAGAGAGAGAGAGAGGAGAGA